TGTACTGCGTTAGGCTAACCGAGACTTGTCATTTGCACTTATATATTGTTGCTCTTTTGTTAGTTTTGACTGCTTCTATTGTCCTCATGTGTAAGTCGCTTTGGATAAAAGCGTCTGCTAAATGACTAAATGTAAATGTAAATATCACGTCTTCTCTCAGTCTAGTGGACGAAAAACATCCAAAATACAGTTTATTTCACTTTATCTATATGTGTCCGTAGATTTCAATCACGATCCATATCTTTAGAGTTTTTCTCTTACAGACACCAAACATTAGAGTTTTATTCCTCTCTGTATTCTGAAGGTTTGTTCATATTTCATTCACACTGATTTATACAACATTTTACTCCTAAAAACATTGTGAAAATGTGTTTGTTTTCTGTCTGTCGACAGTATGTTCTGATTTATGGAGTGATGAAAAGAGAAATCCACAATCCCTTCTAAAATCTCTTCATGTTAAATGCTGTTAAATATGATGATGAAAGTAGAATTTAATTTAGTAGTCTTATGTATTATATGGAGCAATATTAATGCGTAATGCTTAATATTGGAAACAATCGAATGAATGAAGTAATTATCTCACCTTTAGGGACTGAAGACAAGAGGTTTGCTCATTTTAATACGTCTTTTAAGAACATTCTTTTCAAGAATTCTGAATTTTGTCTTCACACAGTTTTAAGAAAAAAAAGAATTTATTTTCTTAAGTTAGAAAATACAATTCTGGAAGTTTGTTTCCACCATGAAATAGAAAAAAGAAAAACGAAGGTAACCGCAACTTTTGATCTTACAGTTCTTTTTTTTTTTTTTTTTTTTTTTTTTTTTTTTTTTAATTTTTATTTAATGTATGTTTATCACACTATACTTTGTGTTATATTACTTTGACATTCAATTCCGTAAACTAGTTAAAGCTGATGCACAAGTGTTTCCAATACAACGACTGAGGGCAAATTTGACATGTTTCTCTCTTCTGTCCAATGGTATCAACTTCTCTTTATTTTTTCCACTTTTGTAAGGTCAAAGAAACACTATCATGGATTTCTCTGTCGCTATTGGAGCAAATGGGAATGCAAGTATTATATTTCTTTTTTTTTTTTTTTTACATTTGCGAGTTTGCAATTTGAGTTTACGTCTCAAAAATGTACATTTACAGCTTTTCTCTAAATGTACATTTCATTAAAAAAAGGAAATTGCGACTTTTTATCTCACTGTTTTAATTTTTTTTATAACAATTAATATACTCACAATTCTGACTTTTTTCTTCATTGTTCCGCGTTTACTTCCCGGAATTCAGATTTTTTTTTTTTCATTTGCTACTGAATAAATACAAAATGTAATTACAAATCCTCTCACAATTCTGACTTTTTTCCTCACGAATGTATATCTAACAATTTTTTAGAGTTGAGTTTATACAGTCTATTTACATTACATTTAGTCATTTAGCAGACGCTTTTATCCAAAGCGACTTACACATGAGGACAATAGAAGCAGTCAAAACTAACAAAAGAGCAACAATATATAAGTGCAAATGACAAGTATCGGTTAGCCTAACGCAGTACACGTAGCAAGGTGTGTATATATACACATACACATATACATATATATATATTATACACACACACACACATATACACACACACACACAAAGAAAAACATGTAGATAGAATAGAAAAAAAAAGATGATAAATGTAGATAAAGTAGAATTAAAATAGAATAGAAAGTGTTAGAGTTAGAGGGTCAAATAAAGGTGGAACAGATGTGTTTTTAGTCGTTTCTTGAAGATGGCTAAGGACTCAGCTGCTCAGATTGAGTTGGGCAGGTTATTCCACCAGGAGGGAACAGTTAATGTAAAAGTCAGTGAAAGTGGAAAAAAAAGTCTATCTATCTTTTTTCTTTTTTTTCTCAAAATTGTGAGTTTGCTGGGTTTTTTTGGTGGAATCAAGCTTCCATGTAAACTAGCGGTTTAATATTTTATTCTTAACTTCTGAAATCTCATGACAACATGCTGAAAGTCCAGAACTGGAGAAAATCTAAATCAGCTGAGGGATCTGAGCGGTTTTGTGATTGTGTGTGTTTTCAGAGTCGCTGCGGTGGTTCTTTACAGCTACAGACGAGCGATTTACAGCTTTACATCTTCTGCTGTATTCTACGGAGGATTCGATGCTAAAGTCATATTACTGACGATTCCTGTGAAATCACATGATTAAATACTGTAGTCCACAACTGAAGGAAATAAAATATTTTCCTGTATCACGTGTTGTCTTGCTTTTTTTAAACATGCAAAAATGAATGTAGTTATATTATAGTTACTATTACTATTATGGTTTGTATTAATATTTTGAATTTACATTTGAGTTTTTTTTAATAATCATTACTTGTAATTTTAGTTTTTGTTACTATTTGTTTAATGTCGTTTTATTTATTTCCAATTAGTATTTTTGGTGCTTCGGCTTTAAATTACAAGTCACTATTTCTAATTTTCATTTACAATTTTTCATCTGACAATGACGTTAATAAATCATATTTTTATATTAGCTTTATTTCAATCAACAAAAATGTTTTGAGTTCATGTGCCTCAGTTTTTGAGTGAACAAAACATTGGTGGATAATATTGTCAATGTTCATAAGCTTTGATTAATACTTTTAAATATTGTAAATTTATAAAAATTTTTTGGTGGAATCAAGCTTCCATGTAAACTAGCGGTTTAATATTTTATTCTTAACTTCTGAAATCTCATGACAACATGCTGAAAGTCCAGAACTGGAGAAAATCTAAATCAGCTGAGGGATCTGAGCGGTTTTGTGATTGTGTGTGTTTTCAGAGTCGCTGCGGTGGTTCTTTACAGCTACAGACGAGCGATTTACAGCTTTACATCTTCTGCTGTATTCTACGGAGGATTCGATGCTAAAGTCATATTACTGACGATTCCTGTGAAATGACACGATTAAATACGGTACAGTCCACAACTGAAGGAAATAAAATATTTTCCTGTATCATGTGTTGTCTTGCTTTTTTTAAACATGCAAGAATGACTGTAGTTATATTATAGTTACTGTTACTATTATGGTTTGTATTAATATTTTGAATTTACATTTTAGTTTTTTGTAATAATCATTACTTGTAATTTTAGTTTTTGTTACTATTTGTTTAATGTCGTTTTATTTATTTCCAATTAGTATTTTTGGTGCTTCGGCTTTAAATTACAAGTCACTATTTCTAATTTTCATTTACAATTTTTCATCTGACAATGACGTTAATAAATCATATTTTTATATTAGCTTTATTTCAATCAACAAAAATGTTTTGAGTTCATGTGCCTCAGTTTTTGAGTGAACAAAACATTGGTGGATAATATTGTCAATGTTCATAAGCTTTGATTAATACTTTTAAATATTGTAAATTTATAAAAAATTATAAAAAAAAAAAAAATATTGTAAATTTATAAAAATTATAAAAAAAAAATAAAATAAAAAAAAATATATATATATATATATAATAAAAATAAAATTAATTAGAATGAATTAGATTCATTATCTAAATTAAATTAGATTTATATTTAATATTTATATAAATATTATATATATAAGAAATACAAAATATGTGCTAATTGAAAGAAAAGTTGATCAAAAGATTGACTCCAATATTTGGCAATAGTAAAGTATAATGAGATATTTATAGGACATTTTTCTAGGCTGATAAAAAGTGTGTGGGGGGGGAAAATCCCCAAGAATTACAAAAATTATTTTTCGGGGTAAGTTGTTATAGCCTTTGTTTTAGTCCAAGCTGATAACATTAGCATTTTCAGGAAAACGAAAATCCTCACCAGGTCAAAACTACCCGAACACAATCATTAGAGTTAACAAACATTCACACAATTAATTTTTATTTCAAAAACAAGTGTGTATGTTACAGCCGAACATCTATTGGATCATTCTGACTCGTGACAAAGCTCAAATAAATAAGAGCCGATATAAAGCAGACGGTTTAGTAAAGTATAATGAGATATTTATAGGACATTTTTCTAGGCTGATAAAAAGTGTGGGGGGGGAAAAATCCCCAAGAATTACAAAAAAAAATTTTCGGGGTAAGTTGTTATAGCCTTTGTTTTAGTCCAAGCTGATAACATTAGCATTTTCAGGAAAACGAAAATCCTCACCAGGTCAAAACTACCCGAACACAATCATTAGAGTTAACAAACATTCACACAATTAATTTTTATTTCAAAAACAAGTGTGTATGTTACAGCCGAACATCTATTGGATCATTCTGACTCGTGACAAAGCTCAAATAAATAAGAGCCGATATAAAGCAGACGGTTTATAAAATCTGTACAGCAGCTTTGGGTTTCTCTGCAACTTCACAGACCAGACAGAAATCAGTCACTCGCTAGAGTTTAGTATTAATAAATAGATGTGAAAAAATAAATAAGATACATTCCTCTACTATTTTTATGGTTTTTGTACATTTATCAAACGACTGCATTTGCTGTAATTGCCCTGCGAGCGGCTCAGACACACACATATATACAGTGGGTACGGAAAGTATTCAGACCCCCTTAAATTTTTCACTCTTTGTTATATTGCAGCCATTTGCTAAAATCATTTAAGTTAATTTTTTTTC